AGTAAGTCACGCTGTCGTCTATATGTTTTCATAGTGTCTGGAGAGAGGGGCGATCTGTCCTGGAGAGCATCTGCATCCGGTGACGAAATTGCCCGCAGTGCCGCAGGATGCTCGCCGCTCTTGGCGGCACCTCACCGTTCGCGAGAGAATAATATAGTAATCTCCTTTACTAATATTTCGCCGACGTTCCCCAGACTTGCCCCGTCACCGATACCATCTTTCGCCGTTCTCTGGCAGTTTTACGGCGCCGCGACGCCCGCGTCGTTTGTAATATGCCCGCTCGTAAATTTCCACCGAACATAAACAGCGAGCGCGCCTTAAACTCACCCGTTTATTTTCCCTACTCCGCCGCCAAAAATTAGGTCATATAAAAGATTTGTTGTCCGAACGACGGGATTTTACACATCTCGCGCTTTAAGTACGATCCGCAATTTAGCTTAAATTTGAACTAACGATGGCCCGATAACGATTTTCGACCACCCGTGTCAGCCAATTTCCATTTGCAAGCTAAACACCGTTTCGAGCTTTGCCGTCGGCGTTGCGATAATCCCAAAACTCGCGGCCGCTAATGCGTCCACTTTTTTTCTCCTACGCTCGAAACGGTACAAAAGCGTCGAAATTTAATAGCAGTGTCAACACGAGCTTTGAGCGCGGCAATCACTGGGCAAATCAAACACGATTACGTGCGCCTCTAGTGCGAACCGATTCGGTCCTATTTCTCCTCGGCTCTGTCGACAGATGTTTTACTCGCACGGTGATTATGGCGTTCGTGAAGCGTCGTATATCACTTGTTTTAACGTTCTATTCCTAAGCTTCCGGAAGCTCACTTCCTCTTTCCTCAATCTTAATCAACTTGACATTATTATTATATTATTAATATAAAAAAAGATGAAATTAAGTTCTAAAAATACGCCATCATCAATTAAAACCATTTTGTAGTTGAACTAATTGTCTTAATTGACTTAATTTTTCTCAATTGTCATAACGCGCTATAATTGAAAGGGGTCGTAAACCTATTTGGAGCCAAATTTGTGTTCAAAACTTTTTATGGAGAAATTAGTGAGTGTTAGGAGTTTGTGGTAATCATGGGTTTGGTAGCTACTCACTCCGGGGAGAGGGTGGTAAAAATCTGTGAAACGCCTGGGTACATATTAATGTTCCGAAGCTTGTCATGAATATTCAGGAAGCATTTCAAATATCCGAGTGGCGTAAAAACTTCCAGGGCATTTAGAGCGTATTTATTCTCGAATGTAAATTTGAGCGCGGCGTTGCGGGATCACCAGAGGGAAAACGCTCAACGTATGTCCTAATTTGAGGATCAAGTTATAAGCTACGTTATGAAACTGCTAAATAAAAAGAGTTATAAATAGATTTTTGGTTGTATTTGTCCAATTATCTCGGAATTACATGTGTTAAATTGAGTTAATATAATGAAATTTCGAAAAATCGAATAACATATCCTTGATATGAAAGCAATGTTCAATTTATGTTCGTTTTATGCCGGTTGGGAAAATGAATAATTAATATCAAATTATACCACTAATAAACGTTATACAAATCAGCCGTCAGACCGTGGCTGGAATGATTTAGCTAATGGTACCTTTTAGCGTTACGGCCACCAATTTTCAATATTAATTTCAATTGTCCGAACTTTCGTAATTATCGACATTAAAATTTAAATTATCACGGTGGTGATCGTTCTACAACTAGACACAACTCAATTTCCGTTATTACTAACAGCCACTTCATGTACTAAAATAAAAAAAGATATGTTATATAATGTTATTATATAATCCCAGACTTGCTTGATTTTTTTATCACGAAAAATATATCGCTTAACATCGTAAACATGGAAGGAGAGTTAGGGCTGGAACAGATTACTCACCAGTACTCATTACTCTAAATAACAAAGTATGTAAGAAAGAGCCGTTTTTATCACTAACTAATAAATTGACTAACTGGAATCATATAGTCAATATTTCAACAAACATATACTAAAATTCATCTTAATGCTCCTATGAAAACAAGCGAAGACATTGACAAAGAAGTAGAAAAGTTCTTAAAAGATATACAAAGCTCAATCTGGACCTTAATATTTATTTTAACACACAAACCTAAATCTAACATATATCCTAAATTCATTAGAGACAAAATTGCTGAAAAACGGAAAACGAGAAAGAAATGGCAAACCAATAGAATTCCTAGTGATAAAACTAAATTAAATCAAATAACAGAAGTAAGAACATTAACAGACCAACAGAAAAGCTTAAAATTGCAAACATACCTCCAATTCGAAATAGTAACGGAGATTGGGCTAAGAGAGTGTTCCTAGCATAATTCAAAGTGATGAGCAGAGTAATATACCATGTGTAAGAATGAAAGAACTTTATTATGAAATACAAAACCTAAACATAAAGAAATTAGTAGGGTATGACCTAATTAATGGAGAAACTTTGAAACATCCACCAAAACGGGCGATTTCAACACTATTACACATAATTAATGCTGCTTTTAAACAGGAATACTTCCCAAGTATATGGAAAGTTGCTGAAATAATAATGATACCAAAACCTGGTAAACCCCCAACAGATGTTGCATCATATAGGCCAACCTCATTATTACCCTTACTATTAAAACTATTTGAAAAAATACTATTAAAAAGACTAAAAGCTGTTATAGAAGAAAAAGCTCTAATACCAACACATCAATTTGGGTTCGGAATAAACATGCTACAATAGACCAAGTGAAAATACAAGCCGGCGTTCCTCAAGGAAGTGTGTTTGGCCCAACACTATACTTACTCTACTCCTTCGACCTTCTTAAGATACCAAAAACTTTAACAGCTACAGTCGAAGATGACACAGCTATGTTGGCTGTTGCAGAAAATGAAGTAGTTGCAGCAAATAAGTTACAATTGGCGTTAAATTCAATAGAAAACTGGACCCAACAATTGCTAATAAAATTAAATACGAATAAATCGACATACAAAAACTTTACTTATAGGAAAGTAAATTATATCCCAGTACACATAAATGGCAATGCAATTCTTTACGCCAACATCGCGAAATATCTTGGTATGACGCTGGATGCCAGACTCAAATGAAAAGCTCACGTCAAGAAAAAACGTGAAGAAGTTGACATCCAATTTAGACACCCATATTGGTTTATTGGCAGAAAATCTACGTTATCACTAAGAAACAAGTTGCTAATATACAAACAAGTATTAAAACCAAAATGGACATACGGAATCCAACTGTGGAGTTGTACCTCCAAAACAAATGCAAGTCTGATTCAAAGATTCCAAAACAAAGTACTAAGGTGTTTAGTGAATACACCTTGGTACATAAAAACCTACCAACGCGACCTTCATCGCGATTTGGAAGTAGTATCGGTGTCATCAGAAATTGCATTAGTCGAATTAAACGCGAGCAATAGTGTGAAATTATAATTCAAAAACAGTTATAACTGAAATGTGACAATCTAAAAATATGGCAATATTTATCTATATTAGGTGTAAAGCAAACTGAACTACTACTTAAAGCTACAAAACATAAGTAACTGATTAGTATGTATTTACTAGATGTTATACAATTGTGCTATGCATAATATAAGAAAAATATATATACAGATCGCAATTTTTTTATCAAAGTTTATGAAAACATTTTTTTTAATATAAATGATTACGTCTTAAAATTAAAAACAACCTGTATGTACAAAGAATATAATAAAGGTTTATTTTATGTTTCTATAAGCAGTGGATTTAACACGCAACATTTTATGATATTAAGGTCGTAAACAAGATCGTACAACGGGGGTTTTATCAACTCGTTAAGCCGATACGAATCGTCGAGTTGAAAATAAATCAGATTTTGCAAAGATGTAATTTGGGGAACGATAAATTTTTACGTTGCACGTATCGGGAGCCAATTAAACCTCGACCCGGGCCGAATCGGAGCTGTTAATATGTTAAAACGGTCGTAAAATCGGAGCGAGCGTCGGGTCGCGCGCGTAGCGATATCTCCATGAAAAATAAATGAGGCAAATTTATGTGTGAGGGGCAGCCGGGACAAGAACGGGGACCATCCCGTTTATTATACGGGAGGCGCGAAGCTCGGAAACGTTTCCTTCCTGTGCTGTGCCAACGATGGGTGCCGTCTTTTTCTTTCCCAGGAAAGGAAATTTAAATACATACGCGCTCGTAAGGCGACGTTCCTATAAATTCGTGCGGATGGGCTTGTTATTGTTGTCGGAATGTATTTAGAATGGGGGACGGGACGCGTTAAACGCACGCCGCGACACCATTCGGGTTCTTTTAGCGTCAACGTATTTTGGTAGAACGCCGGCATAAATCCATAAAGTCGATGGAAACTTTACATCTGCTCCTTTTTCCTTTTATACGCAACTTTCAGAAAAGACGGGGAGAGAGAGAGACTTAAACGTTCAGGACAATATACAATAATACCGTGCGAAATTTATGATGTGTACATATTTTATAACCATACATTTCTAGTTTATGTCACACGTTTATTTAAAATTATCGTTGGTTTATAAAACTTGGTATTCTAGAATTTCATAAATTTTTATATTAAATAAATTTTCTTTTAAGAGAAATGTGCAATATGTTAATGTAATTGAATTCACTGAAATTCCTAAAGAAACAAGTTTGGATTCGATTCAAGCTCCTTCAATCTAACAAATGGCCGCATGTTTTCTTTAAACATTACACGGTCTCAGCGACAACTTGCCGAGAGCAAACAATTTAGCGCCCAACTTTAGAAAGATAGACAGACAGACGCTTTCAAATTAAAGCCAAGAAGAGCGCAAACTTTCAGCCGGAATAAGACGATCTAGTAATTACTCGCGAAATGTGATGGATTGTACCCGTTTCGATTGAAAGAACCGAAGACGTTTCAGTTTCCTCGCTTCGCAACATGTATTAATCTTCTTCTTAATAAAATTGATTGTACGAAACTGAACTGAACTTGGTTAAAGTTCCGTACCTGTCGTCGTATACGAAGCCGGCATCGAGGGTGTTGTAGTAGAGGAGGAAGGCCAACGAGCAGCAGGTTAAGCTGACGAAATCCATAGCGTCGATTTAGTCCTCGGCGGCGGCGTCGACTTGTTGCTTCCTGCACTGCCGAAGATCGCGCCTCTTTCTCATCAACGACCCCATCGTCGCGATGCCAAAACTTATGTCGTCTTTTAATGAGGTGCCATACCCGCGGCGTCGTCGTCGCGTACCTGTGGCGTTACCCCTTCGTCGTCGACGTCGCACTGAGCGTCTCAAAACGCGAACCGTTTCGTTTATATAGCCGTTGTGGAGAGGTTCGCGTCGCGGACTGCACTGTGGATCGACCGTGGGGCGCTCCAGAGGCGGACGCGACGCCTGCGACGCCCGCGTCTATGCGCAAGCGTCCCGACGTCCATACAACAGCAGGTGGTAGTTTACTTTATGACGGGTAAATCGTCACAAACCCATATTTCCAAAATTTATCAAATTTTATATTCGTTGTTTTTTCAAACTTTTATTGTTAAAAAATAAATATACCTATTTATTTAACAAAATATAGGCTTATATACAAATTTTCATAACTAAAACAAATATTAATTACATTGTTTGTCAATCAGATTTTTATGCATAATATAGTTGATTATTATCTATTCAGAGTTAGAGCACAAATAATTGTAAAACGAATAGTTTGGTGTTATTGGATTTTGCAAAGCGTTTGATGTGGCTGGGCATCACGAAGTGTTATCTGTACTGTATTATATAGGGAGGTTGACATTATTTTATAAAATTGATCAAATTGGATTTAATGGATAATTCTATAGTGTACTAGAAAAGCACAAACCTCAGTATTCGGTACTCCAATATTTTGTATATAGGTACATCGTGTATCTCTATAATCCGGCCCCACAGGTACAGTTGTAACTAAACAGTTCAACTGTGCAGTTTAACCTTTACGTGTGTGGTTATTTAAGTCTCAGTTCAACTCAACTGTACAGTTAAACTGAAACGAGTGAAATTTCAATTTTTTAACCTGATAAAGCGTGTGTGGTGGTTCAACCCTACAGTTCTTAGTTCAATTTGTGACAAGGAAATAAATATGTTGCGTAATAAACCAAACCCAGTGATTGCAGAGCTGATTACAATGTTTAGATCAGAACCTTGTCTGCGGCAAGTAAAGTGTCATGACTACTAGTACGAAGAAGGATGCTGCATATGTCAAATTGGCAAAGAAGTTGGACGAAATTGAACCTGGTGCTAACAAGAAGTTTGCTATCAATAAAATTAATAGTTTGAGATCTGCTTCTCGTAGTTGATTAACAGCTACCTACGAGAAACAAAATACTAACTAAAAAACCGTGATGACTAAAAAAATTCTACGTGCACCATTGGATTCCATGTGAAAAAATCTATTAGAACCCGTTTTTAATTTTTTACTAAGTTTCCGGATAGCCGAGATACAGATGTCTGAAAATCGTAAATTTCAAACACTCCCTGTATATCAAAAACGAAGAAGGCTATGAAAATTTGGTTTGCGCGATTGTAAGTTTCACAAAAACGTAGCTCAGGTTCGCGAAAGCCGCAACTTTCTATCTTTCATAATAACTGAGATACCCTGTACAGTTTCAACTGACAGTTTAAACTAAACAGTTCAAACTGTACGTGTGTGGCCGGCCTAATTGTTGAAAAGTTGAAAAGATTTTATTTTTTTTCTTTTATTCTATTCGTTTTTCGGTAAATCTTTTTGGAGGAACCATCACTCCAGCGATAGCTAGAAGAACTTCGTATCTTTTAAGGTATCGTTTAAAAAATTTTTTGCTGAAACAAGATGCATATTTATTTTTACGCCTGTTCAAACCGTGGATTACATTTGCTTCATGGTTTCTACAGCAAAGTGTTCATGTTCCAAGAATCTGTTTGGTTTACTTATGATGTCACTCTTACAAGGGAAGGATGTTTTGATTTTCCTAATTCCCATCTGTGGGTGCTGGAGAATCTTAGTAGATAGATTGGTCGTGGTGGATCAAGTTGTTTGAACCTCGCCTGAAACTATTAAAAAACTCACAGCTCATATTGTAATTGCGGTGGTTCGCTATATGACAGATTTCCTTCTTCAAGATAAGTAGCTTTATGGAAAAAAGTTTAACAAATTGATTCTGCCTCTTGTGATTAACTGCTGACGTTGATGTCGTTTTTCAAGTAAGAGTTAATTGCTTGGTCGTCAGGCGCTAGAGGTCTCCCAGGTTGGACCACCGGCACCGGTTGCCTTATTTGGAAAATTACATACATTTAATGCAATACAAATTCAGCACATTTTGTGTGCACCCAAATGTGACATTTGATGCACCGGATCATGTGTGCTTCTTTTTCTTCCTCATACATAAAACAAAACCATGTTGTCTTAGTTTGTCTCTTTTGTTTTTTTGTTCAAAATTTGGTTAGTTCTTTCTTGTTTTGCTGCAGTGTAAAAGATTTTTCTTGCTTGTTATTAATGTAGCTTTCTGGGCAATTCCTCTATCTTGAGAAGATGGTGGTCCTGGCAGTGGATTCAGTTTTGGAGGCGCTGACACTGCATGGAGAACGTTCTCAAAATTTTCGATTTTTCTAGTTCTACATACATCAACAACAGTGTCATCGCCTTCACTATCACTTGATGACATCGATATTGACTCAGAGTCAGTACTTGGTTTAGGCTGCAAAATACCTGATGGTGCAAATTGGCTATCTTGAAAGACATGTCGATTAACAGCCCAAATACCAGAGGCACGGAAAGCATTCTCGGCAGTTGCAACTGTAGCTGCTTTGCCATATGCTTCATTCAGCAATTTACAAATCTGCATTTGGCTTATTTTGTCCCCTTTACATTGACGAAGACAAGTTTACAACATACATCTAAATTTCTGCGTGGTATGTCCATCTAGTAATAAAAGTAACTTTTTGTTATTGCTACAATCGACGTGATGTTCAAAATGTTTCAACCAGATAACATGTGCGATCACCTTTTGCATCGATTCTCCTCTGCACAGTGGAGAATCCAGATTCATCGACGTTAAATATGGTGTCTGCAGTCAATTTATTTTTGTCTATAACTTTTTCCAAAATATCAAAAAAATGATAAACATTCTCTCAATTGAATCCTTTTGCCCATACCATAGAGGTTCCTTCCGACTTGTGTAAGGACAGTTGCGGATTTCGCCTCATAAACGCATAAAACCATTTTTTCCCGGCAGTTTTCTTGTCTTTGTTGAAAGTGTGTGGCAATGAGTATTTTTCAGCGACATCAAAAGCCAATTTTCTTATTTTCTCTAGTTTTTCCAAGTCTTTTCATTTCATTAACATTTGATTTTTTTCCGTCAGCGTATTAATAGTTGCTTTGGGAACGGAATAAATACGGCTACACTCGTGCAAACCAAAGTCGCCATTTTTATAAGCTTAAACAGTCATTAAAAGTTCGCTTTCAGACCAACGCCCGTACGGTCCTCTTTTAGCAATATCGATCTAAAAAAAATCAATAATGAATAGCGATAGATTTTTTGGACTTGGGCATGGACAAATTTTGAATTTAATTTTTTAATTAATTAATTTAACTTTTACTTGTACTTTTTAACTTTTTTGAAAAATACTTTTCTTAGAATATATTAATTTTTAGCTCGTTGGTGCCCGTTCCTAGCGTCGTTCTCTGGTGAATTTGGGCTAGCTAGATTGAATCGGTCCAATTTGAGCAACCACCATGTGGCCCAAAGTAAGCAACTCTAACATAATTTAGTTTATGTCGTGTGTACTGGTCTTCAAATATTCATAGCAGAATATTCACAGTTATCCGAGATAAAATCGATCGAAATTTTGATCAGATATCATTCATCAGTTATTATCATCACATCAGCTTACTTGCGCATCACCCACGAAGTCTGGAGAACACCGCCATCGTTATATATTTTGTATATGTAGTGTTTTGCAGCAATATTTTTAATTTATAAAACAGTCTATGCCAACATAGGATGAGATTAATACTAAGGAGGCCAAAATTTATACTTTCGAAAAGTTTGTTAAAGCGATTGGAAGCTTTGGATGGAATCTGTAGTTGATTGAATAATATCGACATAAACGAACCCAACCTCAATGTTATAAATGCATGTTAAATCGTTATCAAATGATTGATGTTATAAAATGATTCTCTAATTACATCGGTTGAATATGAATTCTGCAAACTCCCTCGATCATATCCAAGATAGCTAGTCAAGAGCACAGATTGATATGTTCCTATTTCTGGCGGTATAATTGATTTCACGTTTAACAAAGTAATTGACAGTGCGCCTTTAAATATAATAATAATAACTCAACAAATTCGCTTAATTATATAATCAAAGAAGTCAATTATGAGTACTATGCACGTGAAATCTTTTATACGGAGTATCGGATGACTTTAATGGCCACAACAATGTTCGTTATCTATTAGTTCTTCTTTAGTCAAGACTGCTGAAGTTTTAATGGCTAAGTGTAGGGCGGTTACAACACAATAAGGTACCATTAAAAGTTTGTATTTTTCAATGGGATAAAAGCATTACGTCTATATAATATTCTTTAGAATGTTTCGTGGAAAATAAAACTGTATATATCTAAATATATAGAAAGATTTCTCAAATTAAAAAATTGTAAAGAATTTGAAATGTTGAAAAAAATCATTGTTATTTCCGATATCAAACAATGGCCGTGGGGTTACGACCATAAATGTAAATCGACGTAAATTGGGCAATCCATGGAGAACCACCTACGGTCGTTATCGGGGCTACCTGGCGTCGTCAGGAGCCCTTATCGAGTCCACCAACCCTTAATTATGTTTCCCCGGCATTCCACGGTTCCAGGCGGTGACACGAGTTTGAAGCGCATTAGTGAGACATACAAAGGGTCGAAATCAAAGATGAACAACGACTCTGTAGGATTTCGTAAATGTGCCGATTGGAAATTGGATATCCCTGTTTGTTTAATAATGTGACGCCCGTCGTGTCAAGGGGTCATTAATGCTTTACCCTCGGTTCGTAATGATCTGTTTGAGGGATTTCCTTCCGATTGCTATCCTA